CACACAATCTGTGTGTGTGGGTAACGTTTCTCTTTTCCTTAATGCTTATTTTACTACTCTTCCCATCACCTTCATTGCATCATTACAGAAGGTTCAGTAAACCCCCTGAATCACATTTTCACACACACAGCACATTGTAACACTGATGCACAGACAGCACACAGCACCAGGTTTCTACCATGAAGGGACACAGCACAGCACAGCAGAGATCAGGACTGGAGAGGATTCTGGGATTCAGCTTCCCAAAATATCAGTGGGGTTTGAAAGAATCAGGGTTAGATATCAGAATTGGAAAAAAAACTTTGTTGGACTAAATTAGTATTTTAAATTCATTTATTGTTATAATGGCCATTTTGGCATGGAAATCCAAAAGCTCATAAACCACTCAACAGATTAAAATACAAATAAAGTATACAAGCTTCTCTGTACTAAACATATCTCTGTTTTCTTTCTTGTCACACCACATATAACATCTTGAACCATATATTATTTCGCTGTATTGCACTTATCCGTATCCCTTGCGTTATGCAAACTGCTTCTACGCTTCTCATCTGACCGTCATGGTGAAAATAAGCAGATCTATGTTTGTATTTGTGATAAAAAAATATTTTCCGCAACATCAGGTAAAGCGAAACTCTGGAGGAACGCAAAACTAGTGACAAGCACTTTGAGGAACCGAGACCAGATCTGGACAACACCATACACACATCAGTCACCTCACAACCTCAATCCACAGCACAACACCTTGAGGGAGATAATGAAGAAAAGTTAACAGTCAACGAACAATTAGAATGAACAAAAAAAAAAAAAATTCTAATTGCAAAATCTAATCAATAGAATCAATAAAGATGTTTGATACATATTTTGTTTACCAATTACAAGCCCACCAAGGAAACAAAAACAACATGAACACATGTATGCCAAAGTAAGAGGAACACATTTATGCTACCTGTGGGTGTGTTGACACCATTTCCCGTTCTCTAGGAAACTGTGTTCAAGGTTGCCCGCAATACAAAAAGAAAATACAAAAAAAATCAAAAGGCTTTTCATTGTCAAAAGTAAGACACAGTTATGCACTGGATAACTACAACTGAAGACAATAAAGTCAGCAACTTCCAGCATTCACCTTCACTCAGCAGGTCTTTACTGTACCCACATTTTTCTTTTTCTTTTTTTTGTCAGAACCTGAGTCTGTGGGTCTCATTTTTGTTAATCAAGGCAGCGATTGTGCCTACACTACGACAGGGCCCTGAATGTGCTTCGCAACAGCAGGTACAAACTGTATCTACAGATGTTCAACCATAGTGTAAGGTAACTTGTTTGGGCACTGCGTGTGTCATCAGTGTGATCCAAAGCAATAAAAAAAGTCTGAAAATGAGTGTTGACCTTGTGTGTTGGTTGCCAGTCAACATTGCTCAAATCTATAGGGTATTTAAATCTTTTGTAATTATGTTGGGGGCTCTTATTGCTTGTAAAATTGTTCTGCTGATGGTTCAGACTTGTTGGTTGATTTTCACATTAGACTCGATGCTTGTTAAAATCCTATTAATGCTGTGTTCATGAGAAGCAGGTTTTCTGTGAATTTTGGCTTTAAGTGATCATAGTAAAAGCGATTTTGCATCATCTGCTCATGGCCTGCTGAGAAAAAGTACACAAACTAATTATCTTCTACCCGGACTGAAGCATCCTTCTCTTTTGTTCTGTGTTTGTCCACTTGCTGTCAGAAGCATTCGAAGGGTTTCACTCCAATGAGTAAACAACCTGACACGAACGCCACATCAGGAACCAGAAACACAGACTGATGAGGCATGTTTTCTTTATGAATTCTAGATTCATGGAGAATCTTGTCTAAACAAAGTCTGACAACGACGAAAGGAAGCGAGAGAGAAGACTAAAGTGAAGGGAGAGAGAGAGAGAGAGAGAGAGAGAGAGGGCTAGCTCTGGCACAGTCCCATAATTCCTTGTGCCCCTGCAGTGTGACATGTAAATTGCACCGAGGAGCCAGAGAAACAGAAAGAATGCAAGAGGAGGCACTGTACATCCTCCAGACAGCTCTCACAATAATAGATGATAAGTGTGTTTTAGTGTCAAGAATATGCAAGAACACACACAAACACAAACACACACACACACACACACACACACACACACACACACACACACACACACACACACACACACACACACACACACACACACACACACAAACAAGCAAAAATAACAGTCCTGCTCACATACGCCTACCTGCAGTCACAGTTGCACCGATAACCATAAATCCTGACATACAAACACAGATACACACAGGGAATGATGTGTTAAAGCTCCTCTAAAGAATATATTTGTATATTCATGATTGAAATGTGTAAAATGTGTCACATTAACAGTTGTGTCCAGAGCCACAAATCTTTTTTTTTTTAAGTATTATTTTTTAATGTATGGAAAGATGTCTGAGCATTTATTCAATATCCTTGATTTCAAGTCTCAGTTTCCTGCATTAGTTTAATATTTGGCATCAGCTGAAGACAGCAAAAGCTTTGACATGTTAACCAGTAAGGTCTGAAATATCCATTAAATATAATCGTAAGATCAATGTAGACTCTACTAGTTAAGTCATCAGCTTAAAAATGTTAACCAATGAGGTTAAAAAGACCCTAACTGGTGTTACTAGTGGAAAGTTTGGCTGTTACTGATTAATTAATCAACACTGTTAAAGGCTCAGTTGACTAGTAGGGTCACAGCATATCTTACTGATTAACTAGTGGATATCATGGACCTTATTTCTACTAGTGAACTAATGCAGTCAACGATTGGAATAGTGCATGAAACGGACACTTAAAATGTAGGATATTAAATAAATGATCAAATGGCTTTTCATACAAAAAACCTTGTTATGGTTGTGCTATACTTTCTTCACTGCCCTGGACTTCATTGTGTTTGTTTTAAAGCCTTAAACATTTCAACAGCAGTAGCATTAAAGCTCTGATAAACATTCATCCACATAAAATTACACACGTTCTTATCTCAAACATTGACAAACAGCCATTCATACAGACAAACACTCACAAACTGTAGTGGATTTAAAAAGGCTAATCAGAGTTGGATGAAGAGGCGGGCCTCAGAGCCTTTAATTCACAAAACTCTCTCTGTTATCTGTCCAAGTGTTGGTGATAATTGCCAGATAGTAAAGCCGAATGAGTAAATGAAGATGATACTGCATTCTTTCAGGCATGCATTTAGCCTCTCGGGTCTTCTCTCGGCACTGCTGAGGTATTCATGTGTGTCTGTGTGTGCATGCATACATTTATGTATGTGTAGGGTGTGTGGGTTGTAAATAACACAATTAGATTCACACAGGGAGGCACCAGAAATAACAAACTGTCAACTGGCATCTCATCTGAGCTCATAACTTCAGAGCTCTCCGCACAGCGATGGGTGCCTGCCTCTGTTAACAGGGCCCTGCCAGTGTGTGTGCAGAGCAGAAAATAAAAGACGCGGGGCAATGCAGAGGGAAGAGGTGTGCCTGCATGTGTGTTAGACACGAGGCTTCTTTGGGGCCAGAGATAGCTCTCTTTGCTCACACGGTACTTATCTGTGTCTCTGAGTTATCCACAGACTTTTTCTCTCTCCGCTCTCTTTATGTATAAATACACAAGTCTCTACAGAGTTTCCTATGTTTGGAGACAAAGTTTAAATTCCATTAGCTCTGTGATTTTCATGCAACTGCAACATTTATTCTGATATTTCAAATCGTTTAGATGTAGCTGATGCACCATGGAATAAGGTTGCTGAGTTGACGTATATCATTATATTCTTCAGGCAGTAAGGAAGAGGAATAGAGATATGTAAGCTCATGGTACCCTAACCTCCTAATATTGTTAAAGGAGCAATATGTAAGATATCTCCTGAATAAAATGATAAAGTGACCTTAATATATCCTCAGACATTAAGGAAACATGCTATGTTGAAGTTCTGGTTTCTCTGTCAACAATGCAGCAGCCAGTATGTCCTCCTTCTAAGTTTGGATTCTGGTGTGGAATGGTCAGTATTTGTTTTGATCAGGTAGGCGGTTTTAAGGCAGCCCCACACAGCCGCTCAGGACGCCCCGTGGTTTGCCAGGCAAACAGCAAACCAACAGGTGTTGCAGCAATGGAAGCGGGCAAGCGAACTGGTTCAGATATAAGTGATTCTACCCGAGCTAAAAAGCCTCTGCATTTTTCTAATACGCTCCACGAGGAGAAACGTGCTCAAACTAGGATCAATATTGGAGATGCTTTTGAAAAATGGAGCGACGTTAGAGCGCAGAAAGGTTTCTTGATCGATGCAGAGCTGTTTAAACACTGAAGCTTCAGTGTCCGCTATATGGCAACCTGCGTGCACATCTACTCTAGACAGCACTCTCAAATGTTTTGAATTTGGACTGCAGTACCCATTTTCAGCGCTAGCTGTCAGAGTAACATATTGCTCCTTTAATGTCAGGTAAGTGCATTTACCACTATCTAACTTGCTGAGGCAAAATTAATTGTTTTATAGAATATTAATATTGAATTTAGGGCCTGATAAATCACTCTTGAGCGCATGTTCCAATATGTATCCAATATGGCAGGATAAGAGAGACAGCAGGGACAGCATTTTAAACAAACACACAGCACAGGCTAACTCTTTTGTTTCCTTGCAAACCTCTTCTGCTCCTCACAGGTCACTGAATCTGTCACACATCATCTTTTCTCCCTGTAACACGTGTTCACAAAGCTTCACCTCACCTTAAACAAACTAGATCACTAACTGCAGTTTTACATTTTAAAATGATTCTTAGTAGACATTTAATCAAATAGGCAACACAACGATCCAGCATTATGCAAATATGCAGCATGATCATTTGAGCCTACACCAAACTGAGGTTGAGAACCTTTTTATCACTCAGATAATATTTTCCTGAGACAATCAGCATATCTGAATTCATTTCAGTGAAAACTTGAATAACTGTTTTTTTTTGTCTTCAAGGCAAATTGAACAGAGAAACACAATTGCTTCAAATTGTTACTGATGTATCATAATCTCCAGATGCTCCTCCTATCATCATCAGACTAGCACTGAGCTGAGGTAAAAAAAAAAAAAAAAAACAGCCGTCAATCATAAAACTCAAGAGGAATATGACGTGTCAGGAATGTGATGTTTAGATTATCATTTGTCTGTCTGGATGCTTCAGTTCAGCAGGTATGAGTTAGTCTGCATTCACTGCACGAGTGACTGCATCGCTGTGCTGCGGGGTAAAGCACTGTTTAGGGATTAACTGTTGTGCTGCTGAAGTTGTCGCACAGGTGGATAAATGTACAGCATGTGAAGTTGAAGACAAGTTCAACCACAGTCAACTATTCTCCATCTACAAATAAAGGAAATGCCAAGAAGTCGCTTCAGTTGCTTGCAGTGTTAATGTATGAATGTGTCGCTGTTGTTGACACTATAGCTGTTGATAGCAGTGCTAAACCTCACGTATACAACACTGCAACGAAAAGAAATCAGACATACACATTCCCAAAACGTCACTGACTTAATCCCAACTAAGAGTTGTTTGTAAAGTCATAGAAAAATGTCCAGGCTTTCTGTCGCAGCAGGCTGCGTTTGAGATTCAGATATGGCCCTATGTTCCTTTATTATCCAGAAAAGTACCCTGCTTTTATACTGAAAAATGCTCAACAGTTCAAAGGCGTGTTGTTTCTTCAGACACTGTGTGTGTACGTGCGTCTGTTTTTTTTTGCTCATTATTTTGACTTCCTATGTTTTCCCCAGTGTAGAAAAGCTTGTCAGTTTTTCGTCCTTGCCAGTTGCAGCAGTCGGCTTGTAAGTCCTTCATCCTGAATCCGTCTCTGTCACAAACTGTCTCTGCGGCCTCTGGTCTGTAAAATGCTTGTTGAATGTGAAAAAAATTGTTTCTTACATCCCAGTGCAAGAGAGGAGTCCTTCAGTTGGACAGAAAAGGTAGAAAAGTATTTAAGTGCCAGCTGTGGAATCCAATTCATGTGATTCTTTCCTGTTTCTGCACATACGTGGATAAAAATATCACTGCTGTTTTGCATTTATTCCTGTGTGTAATCGTGTGTGTGCATGTGTCACACTGTTTCTGGTAAACACAGGGCTTCCACAGCGTTACTGGGTCCCTGGGCGACCCCGCCGATCACAAAGAGCATGCTGTTAGTCTGCAAAAGGGCAGAGGAGCAGCGTGCAGTGGGCATGGGTGCCACATACTCCCAGCGCCGCTTCACCGGGTTGTAGCTCTCCACTGTGCCCAGCGGCGCCGGTTCATTACCTGCAAGATAAAAGAAACATGTTTTAAAAATCAGCACTACCCAGGTCTTTCATTTAGTGTGGAAAACAAAAGAGTGAATACAGATTTAAAGCTTGTATTACTTATGTTGCTTTCTGTTCCTACGGAAGCACTTAAGGGCCATAAAGATCTGATCTTTAAACCACTGAACACTCATTTGTGGTTTCTAATTGAATATGTTATATTCTCATTTGGAAACGGTCAGAGTACAGCACTGACATCCTGAATGTTTAAGTTTCACGTCACTTACAGTTTAGCAAGGCCAACTTGCAAACAGTTTTTTTTATAGGGCTGGAATTTTGAGACGTAAATTTTACCACCACAAATAAAGCAATTTTAATGTTTCTTTAGATTTATTTTCTTCAAAAGCTAATTAAAGGTGCACTATGGATTTTTGGTAGAGAAATGTGAAAGTTGGAAGTGTACAGATTCTGTGGTTTATGTTCATAACTCTATACTCAAAATGTCTTCAGAGGGAAATTTGGTCTCTGTAACACTGTTTGAAGATAAACTGCTACACGAGAAGTTATGGTGGGGGGCCCTCAACAGTGAAACCCTAACTCTCCTCGTAGCTTTTTATCTCCAGTGTTCAGGGACCCATTTTTTCCTTTGAATACAGTTTGTGTATTCAGTTCAGAAAATAAGAACTGTTTCACTTCTCCAACTTTCAAATTCCACTACCAAATCTACATAGTGCACCTTTACCAATTATATAAAACAAATTAATTACATTTTGTTAACCTTTAAAATGTCAAGGGGATTTTAAAATGTCAATGGGACTTATGAAGACCAGAATATTTAGTACATTTACAAAGTTAAATAATGTGAATTCAATACTATGCATTCACTTTTTCAAACATTGAGAATTCAATAGTGACTCCATATCTAGTTTTTAAGATGTAATACACATTTTTATGCCGTTCTATGTTTCCACAGTGGGCAGACGCATTAATGCTGACTCATCACATCTTTCAACAGTGACTTGACATTTAAAGGGTGAAACGTAAATAAGTGAATTAGGAATCAATGTTTCCTAATTCTTCCTCGTATTAACAATGGGGAGCACCAGTCGAAATATCACTCTTGACAGATGACGTCATAATATGCAGCACCAGTTTGACGACTACGGACAAAACATTAAATGACAGAATATTTGATCGATCTCATAGTGAAAACTGAAAGTTCTCCATCAGAAAGACACCAACACCGTATGTGGCATAGGATGAATATTTATTACAAAGAGATAATGAAGTCATTGGTGAATAAATGAGCATTAATAATGGTTACAGTAATAGAATCAGCTTATGGTGAAAAAAGAATTAATGGCAAATAACGTGAGATGATAAGAACGTGCGTGAGTGGAAAAAAGTGAGAGAATATGTGATGGTAAAATGACAGAGTTAACGTTAAGGAAGTCATTACTTCTGACGAACTGGAAGAAGTGAAATCAGGTGGTTAATTTCATGAGCTCAATCACATCATCCCTTTATCGCAGCAGCCACAGTTGGAATGTTCTTACTTGGAAACGTCTGGACAGGAAGTCTCTGGACGTGGCTTGCGGTGACCTGGCAGGCGGCTTGGTAGATCGAGTCGGGTTGTAGACTGAAAGCGATGGTTTTCTGGCCCAAAACCCATCTTAGTGGACTTGGTTGAAAGTCCAGAATCAGACCATTTCTAAGCGGTTGTAAGGCCGGAACTTGCGCTCAGATTTTCTGCCTCGAGGCTGATGGTGGAAGACGATCTTGGAGCTTGAAAAATAACTTCTTAAAATTGATTTAATCGGCCAATGTAGGAAAACTCAAAAAGCACTTTGATGGTTAAAGTACAAGATTAAAAGAGGATATGGTTTAAACTGAGAGAAAAAATGGACTGATACGAACTGCAGGATTTTGAACTCCTGCATCGGCTTAATTTTTCAGTAATGGAGGTTGCCGCTTGGTAAAAACAGAAAGGTAAAAGCCAAACCCTAGGAATCAGAAAAAAGTCCTAAGGTAGAGCGAAAATTGTATTTGGGATTGTGAGGTAGTCAGAAATCTGACACCAGAACAATGCAAGGTAGCTGTCTGCTAGAACTTGAAACATGTTCTCTTCCTTTTTTTTTGGTGGTGGTGGAAGTGGGGAGTCATGATGTTTACATCTATTTCAAACTTGTCCTGCTAGCCAAGGTTGATTGGGGTGCTGGTTGGCCTAGCAGGAAAGTCACGCCCCATGTACAGATGCTATAGTCCTTCGAACAGGAGGGTCCTGGTTGAAGTCCAACCTGTGGCTCCTTTCCTGCATGCCATCCCCCACTCTCTCTCCTGATAAGGGTTTTAGTACCTCAGTGTGATTGTAGCAATCTGTAAAAGCTGTTGTCTTATTCTGTTCTACCCTCAGTTAACAGTGCAGTCACTATTACTGCCAATGACCTGCTTCCACGTCTGATAAAGTACAAATTGTACAGTAATGTGTTTTTCTTTAAACCCCTCTGGGTGAGGAGTGCAGTTAAATTTTAAATGTGTCAATTCACTCTCGCTGTCAGATGAAAAGCTATTCTTCATTTAGCATTAACATTTAGAAAGGAAAATAACAAAACAGAGAACATCAAATGCAAATGTGTTAGGGTATTCATTTTCAAATTTACTCCATTAAATATGGCTCCAGGAGGAAACCCAAGAAGTTTGTATCAAAATTAAAATAAGAGATTTCTGAGGGTTGCTGTGCTCTGCTTCTCCTCTCCCTGTTTCCTCTCTCTCCGCCCCTCTGTCTCCATCTTTTCACCTCAGGTGCAACGCTCACTGTCATCAGCCGGCACTAAGTTGTAGCCGTTTCCATGGAGACCCACATTCAAGCGAGTCACCAAATAATATGGTTTTGAGGATTGCATGCTGTGTGTGTGTGTGTATGTGTTTGTGTGCGGTCTAAGGAGGACTATTGTCATCATTTTGTTGGAAGAACAGTGGCAGCACCGAGACGGCCTTTTCAAAGCTGTTCAGACCGCAGCTCCTTTATCATCTTTTATGAAGACGCACATAGCAACAGCTGTGACTGCACAAATCTACACACATTTACACACACACACACACCGAGCACACAAACACACTCTCTATGATGCTGTGGTTGCTCAAAGGCTTCCTGTTGCTGCTTTGATTCACGACCCACAGACGTCATGTCAATTCAACAGCCGCTCCTCTCCTCCTGTGTTCTGCTCCCCCCTCTCCTTTTGACCTCCCCTCTTCTCCTCTATCTTCATTAAGGTTTAATTCATTCCTGTCCTTTAAAAAAAATCCTAATTATTTATTATTATCATTCTTTTATTCCCCTAAGAATTCTTAGAAATGTCTCTACAATACTGCTCTTAACCCACACTCATCTGTCCTCCTTCTCTGTTCACCTCACCGTTTCATCCCCTGGTCTCCTCACTCAGCCTCCTCCTCTCAACCCTCCCGCTCTCGTTTTAGATCCTCTTTTTTCTCGTTTGATGCCTCTCTGCCTCAAACTGTCTCCCTTTCTACTGCCTCTGTCACCCCTCCAATTCTGAGCATCTGTTGTATTGTTCTTTGCCTCTTCTGTTGTTTTCCCACCTCGTTCAAACAGTTTGCTTTTATGCACACACTAGGGCACACAATACATACATCAGAGCACCTAAAGTCCAGCAGTTTTAACCTTTTTTTACTTTGGGCCACACACCGGAACCGGAGAAGATGTTTCACAAGAAGAAAATATTGTTTAATAGATCAGTATCAGCTATATAGAGTACACATAGTCTGTTTGAATCCTTTGTTCCATCTTTTACCCAAGACGCTTTAATGCAACAACTTTTGTTGTGCCTTGTTGTAAAGTGCAGCCGACTAAAACCATCATACTTTAATTTCTCCTCCAATTTGTGTGTTTTAAAAGCAGAGAAGGAGCCTCGCCTGTGGCAAAACCCTACAATTTGAATCTACAGAATGCATTACAGCAGTGTTTTTTAAGTTGTTCAGTGAGGTTACATGTGATTTTTTTTGTTGATGTTTGATGCTCATGATCAAAAAAACAGTGTACGTGTAACAACTGACTCGGTCCAACTTGATCTAAACTTTGACGATGCCTTATCATATTAAGAACTTAATTCACTGAGGAGTACCTCTGGGTAAATTAAAAACTTCCTGAAAACTACAGGAAGTTTTCAGGAGTTTTGTGCTAGTTTAAAATCACTTAAATATATAACAAAAGAAATGTACACCAGTAAAATATGTTCTTGTGAGGCATACTAATAAACCATGCATGCTTTTTATTTATTTTCATTTTCAGCAGAATGATTGAACCAGCAAAAGAAGCTCTTCTACTCAAAGTGCTTTTACATTGCAGGTCACTATACCTTTCATACCCACTCACACACTGATGGCAGAGGCTGCTTTGTAAAGGGACCATCAGTATTAACTCAGCAATCCAAACACATGTATACACAGCCGCTGTTGAAGCAGCTGGAGCAACTCTTTTAGTGTCTTGCCCAAGGAAACATCGGACATGTGGCTGCAGGAGCGAGGGATCTAATCCCCAACCTTCTGACTGAGAGATGACCGACTCTACCAACTAAGCCGAATAAACGTGTTGTCCAACAGAATCAGTGAGATGCTACATTTGCAGAGTGCAGCTAGATTACTTAGTTTAAACTAAGTGATTTCAATTATGTTAATTCCATGTTTAGCTCAACTGTCCGCTTAACCCTTCATCCTAACCTGTACAGTATTTATAAGCACACACATACAGTATTACTGCATTCTACATGCTCCTATTTCTCAAGTCAAAAGGCATATTGTTGGAATGGTGCCATAAACAAGCTATGACTCACAAACACAAAATATCCTCACGGATTAGATGGTGAGCCAGACTCACAGCTGACATTCACACAGAGAGAAAAAAATGTAACATAGTGGTGTACCTCTCGCTCTCCCTCTCTCTGCCAGCTTCATGTTAGCAATCACACAAGCACACACATCCATTTCAACACGTCCATTTCATTCTTCCTTCTCACTTAATCCTCACTTTTCTCTCTTTTCCTGTGGCCCATTGAAGTCCAACCATTTACCTCCCCACAACAAGATTGTTGTTTTTCTCTCTCTCTCTTTGTATCACATACCCTCAAACACACAAACACACACAGTTTGACCAGATATCAGGCCACACTTTGGGCTGTCACTGTGCAACCGATGAAGAAGAAAAATGTAATGTTTCTTTTTTTTTTTTAAACATTTCAAATATGTAAATACAGTTAAAACGGCCTCATTCAAGATTAAGATTAAGATTTACTTTATTGATCCTGCAAGGGGAAATTCTGTTTTTTCATTCAGAGGCGTCTATCACCGGAGCAAGGCCAAAGAACACAGGTGTCTAACAACCTATCCCCGCTTTAAGACAAATGCTTCTGGATGTTAAATCAGAGAGTTGAGACATTACCAAAGCTAAAACATTTGTGAGGCTTAAAGAGCGCATATGCAGTAGTACTGCATCATTTTGTTTTCCTCTTTTTTTGTCTTTTGTTTTCACTACAGGCTGTACCTACAATCGCTAAATAACACAACATTTTGCCAACTAACATGCGCTACTGTCTATTCTAAATCAATTAGAAAAACCTTGAATAATGCAGCTGGGACTCTTTGATGCTTTTTTCCAGGTGAACCAAACTTGTACAGGACCCCAATATCAAGGCACAAACTAAACCTGACCTCTGTCTGTCAACCCCGCAGAGTGCTGCGTACTGCTAGCTACACCAGATGGCCTGGATTGTTCTCATTTTGTTGTCAATAGCCCATATGCTCTGAGATTGTAACAGGTCACATACATTTTCTTCTGTGCGTACATGCCCAAACAGTTTCAAAATGACATTAAAACACGAACATTATTTATGGGAAGGAATATTGTTTTTGTCAACACATGTACAGGTTGAACTGTTGGGCTCAAATCTGACGCATTTTCTTTTTCCATACTGAAAAGAATAAAAACATTACCTTTTCAGATTCATTACATGCTGACAAATGTTTTGACAAATGAAATTGCGCAGACATACCACTTCAAAGAGCCCATCAGACTGTTTGAAAAGAGACAGACAGAAACGTGATGCAACCAGCCAGGAAACAAATACAGTCATGCGCATGTATCAGTTAGCTTGGCACAATTATTATGTGGGAATTGATGTGGATGTGGGAATATCTTTTTTTTGGCCTTTAACCGAATCCCTCATTGAGTTGACTATGATTCATTTAAAAGCATGACAGAGCCAGAAGTAGGCTGTGTCATCACTCTTTGATTAAAGCTTGCAAAAAAAAAACCTCAGAATCAAAGAAAGTGATGGCAAACTAACAGTAGTGATGAGCAGTGTAGTGACAGAACATATTAGTGAGGGAATAGGGGAGTCTCACTGTACTGTTACAGTTGATGAAAAGTAAGGCCCAACAGGCAGGGAGAATATTTTCACCATGATATGATTTGTGGAGGAAATTCTAAATTAAAAGAGCAGTGTGTAAAAATGACTACAGAAGACACGTTTCACAGGATGATTTGGGTAGGTAGGCAAACTTCCTTATTTTAAAAATGTCCACCATCTTTCATCTGTAACTGTCTGTAAATGCTTTAAAGGAAGAATATGTCACATTTACACATAAATATAACGGAAATCAAGTGTAGCCGAGGTAAATGTCTCTCTTAGTCATGATTGTCTAATGAGAGAGAAGCGTGAGTCCCACTGGCTGTGTTGTTATCATAGCCGTGTTTACATCAGGTTAACATGGACAGGACGGCCAACTCCGCCCCTTGCATATTAAAGCTGTTTTAGTCAAAGACTAGACAAAATAAGAATAACATACTTGCTGCTTATTTGGATGTCAAATAAGAGTTTTTAATTCACGGTCACTCCGTATTAATTTATGTGCAATGTGAAGCTAAGAGCTAACTAAAATGTGTTAACATCATCCCGCTAACACAACAATGCAGGCCACAGGCAACTGCAGCTTGAGCCAAGGACTGTTTTATCTGCCGCTTGTGCTCAATTCCTCTGTTCAAACTCGTGTGGAGGGGGGTTTGGAGTTGTGTCACTGGAGGAGAGGGGAGGCTTTTAGTATGGCAGGGGTGCAGCCAAACAGCAGTTTGTTTTGGTTTCATGCACTGGATCAAAAATTTGCACATTCTTAAAAGAAGACAGCAGTCATAACTCACTATGCACTAAATGTCTACTGAAAGAATGATGGACTGATGGACGGACACTTGTTCACTGCAGGCTGCACACAGACTGACGGCAGCAGAACAAATGCAGTTTATAGCTTCTGTTTACGGCTGTACAATAATTTCCATTTATACGACACGGCCTAGAGCTATCTTTGCATGGTATATTTATCTTCACTTTATAGTTCTAGGTTTGAGTGTATGTAATATGTAGCGCTGCGTGTGTGATCTTGCTGATGCATGCAGAAGTGCAAAGAAAGTCAATATCTCATAACAAGCATGTTATCAGGAGCAACTGTGGCCCTCTGATTGATTTGTAACATCGCAGTCTCTCTTCACACTTTATTTACTTTAACAAATGTAGCTCAGTCAAGGAGAAAATTGAAAGTTAATGGGAAATTAACTCTGTGTCCTGTGTATGTGTGTGAACATTTAAAATGTGCGCGCACAGTATTTGATAAATAAGAGCTGTGGTGTTTTATCTGCTGTTAGCGATGCAGTCTGCACTGACGCTGGTTAGGGAAGCTTTATATTATGAGTTGAAGTAAATTGATGGTAATGGGTTTAGTCACAGTTTAACACTGATCAGGTTATTAGTGGATGCTCTCAGAGAGGTGTAAATCATTACAACTCCTGCAAGGTATGTCTTATAGCACAAAGATGTGCCTTAAACCTTGAAGGACCGAAGCACCTCTCACAGGATTGCATGGGTTGCCTGTCTCTCACTGGTTCCTTTATTCTTGGGCAAAAGCACAGCCCTGCTTTTAACTGACACAAAAGAAACCAATCAACAAAAAGAAGAAAAATGGGGAGGTAAAAGAATAGAGGTGCTGACCTAGACCTCCAGCTGCGATTACTCTTCCTCCCAGGCAGCCTGCCACAAAGTCGGCCCTCTTCTCCCTCATCCTGGACGTCCGGGTGGGTTTGATCCAAATACCTGCAAAAAGAAGGAAAGAATAAACGGTGAGTTATCTTGGATCAGGTCCTTTAGCCTGAACAGAGTAAGGAAAGCACGGCCAACAGCATGTGGACTGAACATGACAATGTTTCACACTTTTATCAGGTTCTGGAGCTAGCTGCAGCTAGATTCAGATCCTGGTGTTAGGTCTTAAGATCAGGTTCACTCTTTTGTTCACTCAGTAAACACTTGCTGTGGGCAGTTTCAAGTTCAAAAACAGTTTAATTTTTCCCCAGATAGACCTGGTTGTCCTGGGAATTGGCTTAGCTTAGCATAAGAGCTTGAAAACATGGTAAAACAGCTAGATAGGGGGGTGCTAGATAGACAAAGAATTATAAAAAAAAATAATAGAGGAATAGGTGTAGAAAACAATAATAATCAGAGAGATCTGTACTTGACAGCACAACAAGGTCTGCATCAGGGGCTCTCGCACTCCTCGCCTTTCTCCTCTTTCTTTCCCTTCTTTGGCATGAAACCCACAATGCATCAGCAGATTACATTACTGTATTTGAGACAGTGATATGAAGTGACACATCCCCTTTTTAACTCCTCCACTTCAGAAAACATCTAAGAGGGAGATGAGCTGCTAGGATCAAGTCTATGCAACACATTAATTCGCAAACACTGGAAATGTTAATGAATTCATAACAGGTTGAATTGACAGATATTTAGCACCCATCATCGTGCATCGTGATCCTTTGTTCTTTAAATTGCTGCAGTCATTTTGCTTTAATTGAAGTTTTGAACCCATGGATGAAAGGTGACTGTGAGCTCTTTGTTCAGTTCAAATGTAAGCTTGCTCGTCTGGTGCACACTGCCAAGAAGGTTATGGGAGGGACTGAAAATCTCTCACTACAGTCGATATATGAGCAATCTGTTCTCAAAGCATAGAGAGTGTTGTCTGACCCGTCTCACATCCAACACTCTGAGTATGAGCGTTTACCATCTGGCAGACGATACAGAGTCCCCCAATGTAAACTGAACTGTTTTAAAAACTCTTTTTAGACCCACCTCGAAAAATTCTAGTAATGTTTCTTAAGGCTTTATGGGTTGTGCAGTAGCATCAGGATGTTCTTATATGCTCTTAGCTTTTTCATCTCTTCTCTTTATGTTGCTTTATGCAGATCTTCATTCAATATGTGTTTGCAGGGATGTGCTTTTCTATCGATTGTGTTTGTTCCTATTGTTTTTGTGTATTGATTCTACTGTCTATTGAATGTTTGCAGCACATGGAGTCCAAGACAGATTTCCCCAAGGGGACAATAAGATAGAGGTTAGAGTCTCTGCGCATGCCCGGCCCGACGATGCCTGAAGCCGGTTCAGGCCGGGCAGGATACAGTTAATGAGAGAGGCCTATCTGGGACCAGAGAAGAATGAGCACAGGCTCGGGTCAGTTCATGATGGATTGGTTCGGCCTATCTATGCTCTTCTATAAGGTGTATCATGTTGTATCATATCGTACATGGTAAATCACGCGAAGAGAGTATTAAATATCTGACACCTAGCATGCTAGCACACACATAATAAGACAGAAGCACAGCTGTAATCCAGATTAAGGCACCTACTGTAAATTACACTTTATTTTAAGTTTCATTTTTGGGCTTTTTGTGCCATTAATGGAGAGATAGGACAGTGGATGGAGTCGGAAATCAGGGAGAGAGAGAGAGTGGGGAATGACATGCGGGAAAGGAGCCACAGGTGGGATCCGAACCCGAGCCGCCCGCTTGGAGGACCACAGCCTCCATACACAGGCCTCGCGCACTAACCACTAGGGCACCAGCGCCCACACTTGCATCCTGACCAGCAGTGCAGCATCCTGACCAGCAGTGTCTCAGTCTGGTACGGAAACTGCTCTGTCGCAGACCGTAAGGCGCTACAGCGGGTGGTAAAAACCGCCCAGCGCATCACAAGGTGTCCACTTCCGGCCATTGAGGATGTCCAAAGAACACGCTGTCTGCGGCGAGCTCACGGCATTCTTAAAGACTCCTCCCACCCTGCCCACAGACTGTTTACCCTCCTGCCCTCCGGCAGGCGCTTCAGAAGCCTCCGGACCAGAACCAACAGACTGAGAAACAGCTTTTTCCCCAGAGCTGTTTCTCTACTGAACTCTACCCCCCGAACTCTGAACTCTGTCTCTCTCTCTCTCTCCCTCTCTCTCTCCGCACCCTGCTGACCCCCCTTTCCCCTCCATATCACCTCACTCCCCGAACTCTGTATTCTGTCTCTCTCTCTCCCTGTATTCGAACTCTGTATTCTGTCTCTCTCTCTCTCTCTCCCTCTCTCTCTCCGCACCCTGCTGACCCCCCTTTCCCCTCCATATCACCTCACACCCATCATCCCCCCACCTCTCCTCCTGGTCACACACACACATCTCTCATCCATCTGTATTATTGTATTATAGTACGTTCATATTCTGTAAATTATCTGTAAACTGTATAACATGCTCACTGCATCTTAATCTGTAAATTATTAGTATAGCATGCTCACCGCATCTTATTCTGTATATTATTAGTATAGCATGCTCACTGCATCTTAATCTGTACATTATTAGTATAGCATGCTCACTGCATCTTAATCTGTACATTATTAGTATAGCATGCTCATTGCATCTTAATCTGTACATTATTAGTATAGCATGCTCACTGCATCTTAATCTGTATATTATTAGTATAGATGCTCACTGCATCTTAATCTGTATATTATAATCCTAAGAACACACTTATTTTGTAGCATTACTTATTTATAGCATTTATTTATTTTTATTGCATCCCATTAAGCCAGCCATCCAGATATACCTCATAATTCACTTTTTTTTGGCTACATCTGTAAATTTTGCAATTACTGTACATAGCACAGAATCACTGTACATAGCACAGAATTACTGTACATAGCACAGACTCTTGCACTCAATTACTGTACATAGCACAGACTCTTGCACTTTCTGCTTATTTGCACTTCTGGTGAGATGCCAAACCTCATTTCGTTACTCTATACCTGTATATGTGTAATGACAATAAAGTTGAATCTCATCTCATCTCATCTCACTTAAGTAGCCATTGTGTCACTTTGTGTAAATGTATTCAGACACGCAAGACAAAGACAAAATTCTGCCTTGTGCATCCAAAAAGTGGACGAGTATTTTCTGTTCTGATCTATTTTTATAAACTGTGTAAAACACAGAAATCTGCTGACCTACGGTTACATGCATGAGCTGCAGGGCTTGCATCAGATTGTGGTAATATAACTTCATCAAAGGGCAGAGTTTACCCACTGATCCTCGCTCCAGCCCTCACATATTGTCAAAGATACAAATACAACTTAGTGAACCGATGGGCCTCAGGGTGGCTGTCTCACTCTCTCTGACAGGGTATAAAGTTAATCAGATGCTTCTCCCACACAGTAAGAGGAGCAGGAACAAACATCCCCTCTGGACAACTTCGAAAATCTCTTAAAGGAGGTGAGGGATGAAGTATCTGGTGACTAAATGGACATCCACTCAGCAATGGCAGGTATTGGAATTAATCAGTGGATACAGGGATAAGGGAACAAATGATGTGACAGGACAATAAGCTCCACATTGTCTCACAGGTGCAGGTTGCTAAATGGTCACCAGAGAGCAGTTATCTCACCTGACAGAAAAGTTTACTTCTGCTGCTGCAGCCCAAAGTCACCCAGCACGGGGGAAAACACTGCCAATTAAACTCTGCCAGCCCCACCACAGAGTCCACAGAGAAGTACCATTACTGGAGCAATTTACCCCTTAAGAATGTAAAAGCCTTTTAGAAACAGTGCATGCATCTTAAAACTTCATGTGTATGCATCGTTGATAATTTTTTCAAACTGCTGTTAAAACTTGCCACGCATCACTGCCCAGGCCAGGGGAATAAAAAGAACCATTCATTTTGGTTTAAAAACACTGATATTCTCAGTAGTGGAAGTCAGCAAAAAAACTGAGAAAATAAAGGATAAGAAAATAAGCTCCAAGGAAACTGAAGAAGTAAAACAAGTTATGTTCAGAAACTAGAAACTTTTTGATTTGATCTGAAAATTTTGATTTCCTGCAGGCAAAGAAAAGGCAGAGGAAAGGGAGGGAGGCGTAGGAAAAGGGAGGGAGGTGGAGGGATAGCTTGGAGAAAACAAATATATATTGCAGAGCTCCCTTCATGCTGGCTGTGAGGAAGTAATAGAAGCTAAATGCTAATCTCTGAGCCACAGGAAGGTAAATCGGAGCCACCAGCAGCTCACTCATAGATTATTCTCAGTGCAACACATCAGCTATTCAGCTGTAGCAAATGGAAAGGCCAGATAAGACGCAAATATAGTGCCGATAAACGGGACGAGAGGAACAGAAGAGTTTAGCTTTCAAATAGGCGTGTAGGCTTGACGCTTTTGCTGCTTTCCTTCTTCTTCCTGAAGCCGTCCCTGGATCAATTTAGGAGAAATCACCATGACACTGTTGTTGTTGTCTCCTCTACCTCTGGATTCAGTTCAGTCTCAATACGTTCCTGATAATATGTGTTTGAGAGTGTGTGGGCTTATTTATCTCATTATACGTGTCTATAACATGGCTTGGTTGAGTACCTGATTCTTGATGGTCAAGAAGTGCTTTCTCTACCGTCTGTTATTTCTGTACAGCAGACGAAGAACAGCAGATTTACTGCAGCAGAATATAGAAAAGGGAAGAAGGAAAGCGTAGAGCAAATCCAACATCTCAAAGACAAAGTGAACTTGAGGACAGAGAAGTCAACAAAACAGAAGAAGACGCACTAACAGATAAAAGGTATGGGCTACGACAGTGTTTGAAGACTGATGATAACATTGTCAGACTCTGACAGTGATGGAGCAGAAACCCTGAATCAGGCGCTGCAGAGATTCATGAAACCTATTCATCTTGTGTTTAAGCTTTCCACCTGAGTTTCAGTCGTGCATCCATAGTGCTTTTCCCGTGCGGGGTCACGGGAGGGGCTTAAGCCAATCCC